CTTAGCACTTTCCGATCAAAAAGAAAAAGTGAACCACCTGAAGACAGAAATGTATATTACACCAAGATGTGATTGGAAGCAAACTTCAAGATGTCAGCATGTGCATGTGCAAGTGCAACTTTTGGTAGGAAGGACCAGCAAATTTATAGGGCATGCACATGTCAAATTGTGCTTATTATTTAAAAAGCTAATGCATCAAATTTGAGAAACATTTAAGAGAATGCCATTAATCACAAAAGTCTCTGTAATCCATAAGCCACTAGTGTTGAGGACAGAATAGGTCTAGCTGATACCAAGTACACAGGAAAGGAATTTTTTTTTTTTTGGTTGGCCAACCACATGAAAAGGAATTGGATTTATCTACTGGGAGTTCTTGGCATGCAACAAATAAGCTATTTAATTTTAGAGGTCAAACAAATGACAATTTTTTCCAATGTCTTCTCATTAAATAGAAAATAAGAGAAGTATTGTTCAGAAGAAATTAATAAATTAAATAAAGTAAGCACATTCTTGTTAGAAATAGATTTTAATTTCAGTACAAGAAATTAATAAGTTAAATAAAGTACGAACGTTCTTGTTAGAAATTGATTTTAACTGCAGTACATGGTCTCGTTTGGAACTTGAGAAATCATTTCAGAAGCAAAATTCATCTCCCAAAACATCACATACGAGAAAAATGAAGAGAAGTAAAAACAAAAACATTTTGAGCAGAAAGAATATAGATGGAATATATGGGAGGATCAATGGAAACAAAGAAAATGGAAAATTTTAACTACTAAACATCTGAATGAGTTATGTGGTGCCCAAAAATACCAATTGAAGGAAAGTATACTTTAGAGGAGTTCTAATCAACTTAAGGTAATGTTTGGTAGGTGGAATGGTTATTTTTTGGTTAAACTATAAAAATAAACCAAAACTAGAAACTTTACTTACAAGTTAGGAATAGAATAGATGAGCCTTAATGTTGATAATTTTACACTAAATTAAGGGATGAGTACAAAAATCTGAAGGCTTATTTATTTCTAACTTGTTGAGTAAGTGATGTAGAACCAGAGAGAAATAGATGCCGAGGATGAAAAGTAGAGAATTTAGGGTTGGAAAAATTATCGTAACAAGATTATTTATAGGGTGCAGACCCTTAATCCAAACTAAATACGAAAATAATAATAAAGTTTCTGAAATTATTAAAGTTAATAAATAAGTCCAAGTACTAAACTAATGCTTAAACTTCCTACTAAAATAACACTGCTTAAAGGGCTTGAGCCCCTGTGCGCCATCAGTAAGTTTCTTAATTTTGCCTGCTTTGGTTTTTCTTGGTTTGACCAAGGAACAATCATTCCTCCAACCAAACAAGCCGAGAGTATATGCATTGCCACACAAAAGCAAGAGTTAGATTCAATTCATATCAATGCAAACTGTAGAAGCAATCAAAAGAATTATAATTGCCTAGCAAAAGGAATTATGCCTAATGAAAATTAATTAAAGTTGGGGGGAACAATACTTGGTGGCTTATTAACGAGTTCTGGGGTAATGCCAACTTTCTTATAATTCCGAAGAATTTCACATATTTCAGCTGGCAATAACCACCGACGCTGTGCTGCTAAGAGTATCTGCTCAATATCTGCGCCATGCCAATTATAAGCAATAAGTACCATAAACTAAATAACTTGAAGCAAAATGTAGAGAAGGAATGCATGCTAAAGTATTTCCACATTCATATTAATAAATATGATAAAAAGTGAACAAATCTCAACCATTGAAAGTAAAGGGATGAATGGTCAAGATTTTATATAAATGTGATATATAAGATTTATTTGTAAATGAATCTCTGCTCATAATTTAATAGGATTGTAATTAGGACCATCTATTGCAGGGAAAAAATCAGGACTGATGCAACTGGTGCCAAACCCCGAGACTTGGAATCACTGGCGGAGCCATACAGAGCCTGAGTGTGCATAGGCCCCTTCTAAACTTTTAGAAAAATTTTAATTTAGTCCCTATGTTTCATTTTTATCCTCACTTATTTCATACCATTTTAATTAATCAATTTTTTGTATTTGTGTTGTTGAACAATACTTTTAATGATAAAGAGAAAGATGAGGAAAATAAAGATAATATGAAATATTAATTGAATAAAAATTATTTATTATCAAATTTTTATAATATATTTATCTACTAAAATCTTTACTTCCTCTTTCTTTCTTTATAGTATATGTTTTTTATTTAATATATGTTTATTTTTATCTTTTAATTATCCTGTTTATACCATATTATCAACTATTATTAGTTTATTGTTAAAAACTAACAAATGTTATTGAAAAAATATTTTTAACTCTTTAAATTGACACACAAATTCATTGTTTTTTAGTTGAAATTTTATTTGTTTCCCCTAAAAATATTTTCTGGCTTCGCCAGTGCTTGGAAGTTGGAACTACCACTAACAGACATATTTATTCAGCCATTTTTAACATCAAAAATCACAAACGCAAGAGTCAGAATAAATAGGAACTGAGGAGGTAGGAAGCATTAAACCTCGAATTCAAAGAACAGGAAACGAAAATAGAACTCCAGCATCCTTTACCCAATGGATTTGCAGCGAGAACAGAGCGACTAGCCTGAAGACTCTCAACCATTGTCTCGACCTGTTTCTACTTCCGTCGATATCAGAGGACCGGCAATTCAATGAAAGAGAAGGTAGTAATAATTAAAGAGGGTAGCAAACGAATAAGCATGAGTAAATGAGCTGCGAGCAAGAATTTTATACTGACGGGGTACGCGGAAGGAGCTCGCCGCGCGGGGTGAAAGTGCGCGTTGACGGAGGCCTGCACGTTTCCGTCTTTTTCATCGCTTTCAAAGCATGGTTGTACCGGCTAAAATTTTGAATATTTCGATCAAATTTGGGTGTACCGGCTAAAATTGGTTGGTGTATCAGCCGTTACACCGAAATTGGACTAGAACCGTTCAAATCTAAGAAGAAAAAAGTAAAAAGGCAAATCAGCCTCTGTACTCAGCGAATGGTGGCAAATCAACCCCTCAACTCATTGCATGTTTGCAAATCAACCATTTTTACTCGGCTTACATTAGATACTCTTCAATTTGTAACGGAAAGCAATGGCGAACTCAAACGTTCTCTCTCTAACTTTTCGCTCTCCTCAAGAGAAGGATCAGCTTGATCGAAGTGTGAAAAGGATCAAGAATGTTAATCCAATCGCTACTGCTCCATCTAGAGAAGAGCATATGGCGGAAGCTGCAGCCAATCCCCAGTCCTATAGAGACAAACTGATCTGCGATGGTTCTTTCGAATCTCCTGACGAGGACCTTTCTTTTGATGCCATTCCTGAATATCTTGATGAAGATTCAGATATCGACGAAGATCCAGATGACCCGACGCCGATAATCCTCTTCTCCAAAGAGGAAAAAAGACGCATGCGCGAACCATGGAAAAATGCTCTTATTGTGAAAACCTTTGGCAAGTCAGTGGGTTACAATTTCCTTTACGGGAGTCTCAAAGCCCAATGGAAACCAGCAGGTAAATGGGATTGCATTGATTTAGGATATGGCTTTTTTCTTGTTCGTTTTCAGGTACACGAAGATCTCAGTAAGGTCATCAATGGTGGCCCCTGGTTCGTGGGTACAAACTACCTCACTATCAGACCATGGGAACCGAATTTTAAGCCTGAAAATGCCACTTTCTCACACACAGTGGTGTGGGCACAGTTGCCGGGCCTCTCAGCAGAATACTATGACACTATCTCCTTGCAACGTATTGGCAATGAAATCGGAACTCTTCTCCATGTTGATGGCCATACAGCACACCATACACGTGGACAATATGCTCGTGTGTGTGTTAGAATAGATTTGAATAAACCCCTTGTAAAGCTTCTCAGATTGGGCAAAATTCGTCAGAAAGTTGTTTATGAGGGGATTAGGGGACTCTGTTTTGCATGTGGTCGAATTGGTCATCGCAAAAAGGTTTGTACCTTTCAGTCTAGGCCATCTGCAACTGCTAGTGTTATCAATTTTAATCTCCAGAACCAGGCAAACATTAATGAAGATGCTGAAATCAATGTCACGGGTTGCGAAAAGCCGGAGGCTTCAACCTCCACAGAAGGGGCTGGAGGCATCCAAGTTGCTAGCAACAATCATGTCCCTAACTACACGGAGGAGCCTAGGCATATTCAGGATAATCAATCTGATGAATTTGGTCCTTGGCTTATTGTGGAGCGGAAAAAAAAGAAGAAAACCCAGAAACAGGTGCCGGAATCTTCATCAGAAGGGAAAAGCAATGGGCCCAAGGTTCCTAAGGGCCCCACAGAATCGAACCAAAGATCAGGGTCGATGAACCAATTGAGTTACAGACCAGTCAAGGTTGGAAGAGCTAACGGTACACCTGCAGGAGCATTTAATGTAAAAACTCAATTCAAACCTGCTAAACAAACGGTTCTAAAATCAACCGTTACCAACTCTATGTCTATCCATATGGATATAGGCCCAAAGAGGGATTCCATATCCACAAGTTCCGCACCTATTGGGAAAGAGATTGGGGCCTCATCCAAGACTACATCTGAAGATTTTGGCACAAATGAAAATGTGGGCCAAAGCAACAACCCAACAAAGGCCATTATTCCAACAAAGACTATCTCTAGCCCAATGTCTGGGCTTTGTAGACTTTTTTCCAATGCTCCAGCCACCCTTGAAGCTGCATTGCTCACTGTTAAAGAAAGGATTAAGAATCTTGAATCAAGTTCCATCCTTACTTCTGCACCATCAAATTCCTCTATTCTCCCAAAATCTTCTTCAGAGATCAGAAATGAGCAATCTAGTAGCAGCTTCGCCAATTCCCCAGCTCAGCCCCAATTTGAAAGTTCTACTAGTCAACAACAACAATGTAATTTCATTGGAGGAAGCCCTAGAGCTGTTATTGTCAAGGGAGGAGAAAATACACCCGTTATGGAAGGAGAGGGATCTATTCAAGGCTTGGCGCAATCCTCTCCTAACTCTCAAATCCATAGATCCTCTTCCTTTTCTAAGCTCAGTGCCAGCTTTGAAGGAAGATTCAATAGCTATGGTAGATCAATGCAGTACTCAAAAGCTAGAGTTCACTACCGAAGGAGCAAGCATAGAAGAGATAAAGGGCCCTACCCAACCTCTGAAATTTCTAGCCCAGGCACGGCAGGAACATCTCCAAATCTCCGATATGATGGGCAAGATGGAGACGATCCATGTTATCATCAAGCCCTCAATATTGCTGGGGATGGAGGAGATGGATTACAAATGCCTTATGCTTCCGTGTCACTTTCCGGGGGCCAAAATGATGCTGTTGCACAGGGAAACTCAGGAACCATTGTTCGACCAGGCTCTAGCTAAGTTAGCCTTGGGTCTCTCTAACTCCTATTGTTGGTCAATGAAAATGCTCTCTTGGAATTGTCGCGGTGTGGCTAAAATGGAGTTCAATAGGCGCATGAGAGATTTGAAGAATCAACACTCTCCCTCAATTATGCTTATTCTTGAAACAAAGCTCTCTGGCCAGGATGCTAGGAAAGCTGCGGCTGAATGTGGATATCCTTGTAGCCATGTAGTTGATTCAGATGGTAGGGCCGGTGGTCTCTGGCTATTGTGGGATGATAATGAAGTGTGTGTCGATGTTGTCACCTCAACTTTTCAAGCAATCCATGCAATTGTCCAGGTACGCTCTCACCCCATCTTCTCTAAATTTCATTGGTTTCTTTCTGGTGTTTATGGTAGACCCCAATTTGAGCTTAGAACTCACTTATGGAATGAACTGCGTGAGGTTGCAAAATATTTCAATGGGCCTTGGCTTGTGATTGAAGACTTTAATGATGTTGTGGATCAGGTGGAAAAATTTGGAGGTGCTCCTATTAGTCAATCCCGTGTTCGTGCTTATACTGACTGCATGAGCGACTGTAACCTTATGGATATTGGGTACACCGGGGGTAGGTTTACTTGGGTTAATATGAGGGAAAATAACCATGTCATTAGGGAACGTCTTGACAGGGCTTGGGCTAACCCTGATTGGCGTCTTCAATTTCCTGATTCAAATCTTCTTCATCTCCCTCGTATTAGCTCTGACCATAACCCACTTCTCCTCTGTCTTGATAACCCATTGATGAGGAGTGGGGATAGGCCCTTCAGATTGGAGAAATTTTGGTTAGATCATTTTGAGTTTCATGATCTAATCTCTCCTATCTGGTCTGCTCAAAATTTGTGCACGTCGCAATGTATTAAAAAAACCCAAACTTCATGTAGAATTTGGAGTAGAACCACTTTTGACAATATTTTTGTTAAAAAGCGGATTCTCAATGCTAGACTTGAAGGCATTCATCGTTCCCTCTCGCAAAATCCTTCCACTTTTCTTACCTCTTTAGAGAAGGAGCTTACCCTTGAATATGTGGAAGTCTTGAAATTGGAGGAAGATTTATGGTTTATGAAATCCAGGTCTAACTGGATTGTTGATGGGGACCGTAATTCCAAATTCTTCCATTTATCTACCATTAAGCATCGAAATCATAATAGAATCTTCTGCCTTCGTACCTCGGATGAGGATTGGATTTGTGATCAGCAGGCTATTGTTGATCTTATCAAGAATCATTTTATGCATCTCTTTACCTGTTCTCTTGATTACTCTTATCATGATTCCTTCTCTAATCTGGGAGTTGGTATCTCGGAATCCCATGACTTAAGCTCTCTGGACAACCCTATTACTGATGAAGAGATACGTAATGCTCTTTTTGGTCTTAAGCCTTTCAAGGCTCCTGGACCTGATGGTCTTCATCCTGGTTTCTTCCAGAAAATGTGGGATTCAGTGAGAAGTATTTTGTGTAGTGACATTCGCAACACTTTCTCCTCGGCTTCTCTCCCTGCTGAATGGAATGAGTGTTTAATTACTCTTATTCCCAAAACTAAAGCTCCTGAAACAGTTCAGCAGTTTCGTCTTATTGGTCTCTGTAACACTACTTATAAAATTATCTCCAAGATTATTGTGAATAGGATGAAACCTGTTTTAGATGACTTGATATCTCCTTGCCAGGCTAGCTTTGTTCCCGGTAGAAATGGTATTGATAATGTGCTCATCCTACAGGAGCTTGTTCATTCCTTTTCTAAGAGGAAAGGTCGGGTGGGGGATATGGTGGTTAAACTTGATCTCGAAAAGGCCTATGACAGGCTAGAATGGAGCTTCATTAGAGAAGCCTTAACTTTCTTCAAGTTCCCACCAAAACTCATATCTCTTGTTATGAATTGTGTTTCCTCTTCTACTATTTCAATTTTGGTTAATGGTAATAAAACTGATGCTTTTCTTCCTTCTAGAGGCATCCGTCAGGGTGATCCTATCTCACCTTATTTGTTCATCCTATGCATGGAATACCTTTCTATCAAACTTTCCAATGGTATGGCTAAAGGCAAATGGAAGGGTTCTAAGGCGGGTAAGCGTGGACCTACTTTATCTCATATTTTTTTCGCTGATGACTTAATTTTTCTTGGGAAAGCTACTCTTACCAATGCACAATATCTTAAGGATACTCTTGAATTCTTCTGTTCTCGGTCTGGGCAAATGGTCAACAATGCTAAATCTAAGATTTTATTTTCAAAAAATGTTGATCAAATTACTAGAGACAACATTAGTCAAAGCTTGGGTTACCAGCAGACAAATGAGCTTGGCAAGTACCTAGGCATCCCTATTGTGGCTAAGCGATGCTCTAAGGTTAATTGTGAATTTATCCTTGAGAAAATCCGCTCAAAGCTTTCAAGATGGAAATCTAAATTTTTCTCCATGGCTGGTAGAGCCACGCTTGTGTCATCTGTTCTTGCCTCCATTCCAAATTACTTCATGCAGGTGATGTGGCTTCCCTCTTCTGTCCATAAAGAAATTGACAGAATTTCTAGGAATTTTTTATGGGGTTCTGTTGAGGACCAACACAAGATTCATCTTGTGGATTGGGAGACTATCTGCAAACCCAAAACTCATGGTGGCCTTGGAATTCGTTCTGCTCGTAATGCTAACACTGTCGCCATGAGCAAACTCAACTGGAGAATTCACATAGAAAAGGACAAAATGTGGAGAGAGGTGTTGGTTAAGAAATACAACATTAATGACCTCCAGTTTGCTCCTTCCTCTTCTGCCTCTCCAGTTCTTAAAAATTTATCTAAAGGTACTCCACTTTTTACTTCTGGTATCAAATGGATCCCTCGTAATGGACTTTCGATTCACTTTTGGACCGATCACTGGGTCGGGAAAGCATCTCTTGATTCTATCTTATTTGGTCCCTTTGCTAGAAACGCCTCTAAGATCCTTCTTGCAGATGTTTTCCAAGGGGGTGTTCTTGATTTTGATACCATTGGTTATCATATTCCCCTGGAATTGAGTATGCAAATCCTTGTTGTTCCCATGTTAAGCTATTATTTTGATTCTGATAATTTTTCATGGAAGGAAGAATCCAATGGTATCTTCTCTTCCTCTTCGGCCCATAAAATCCTTACTTCTAAGGATCGTCAGGTGAATGATAATTGGAATTGGAAGTGGATTTGGAAATCCCCAACCTTCCCAAAAATCCAAATATTCTTGTGGTTGCTTGCTCATGGTAAAATCAAAACTCTAGAGTATCTCCATCATCTTAGCATTGTCGATAATCCGACTTGCTTGATATGTAGGAGACAAACGGAGTCTATTGATCACGTTTTTAGAGACTGTCCTCATGCTGTTGCTGTTTTCAACAAATTATCTCATGTTTTTACTAACAGCCAAAATGCTATGAACTTTAGGCATTGGCTGTTTGAGCATACTCACAACAGCTCTCTTAGTCCTTTTTTCAACATTCCTTGGGCTGTTATTTTTTGCTTTGCTATTTGGGTTCTTTGGAATCAAAGGAACCATTTTTTGTACTGCCATCAATCTGTGGACATTCAGAGGACTCATGACTTAATTATTGAAAGGGCCATTGAATATTGGGCATCTGCTCCTATTTCTAGTGCAGCTCATAAACAATACCTTAGGCTCAGCTCCTGGGAACCACCACCCTCCCTCTGGTTTAAAATTAATACTGACGGTTCTACAGTTGGGAATCCAGGTTATGCTGGCTGTGGGGGAATTGTTAGAGATTCTATGGGTCTGTGGGTTGTTGGTTTTTTGAGAAATATTGGTTACACTACTGCTCTGGCTGCTGAACTTTGGGCTATTAGGGATGGTCTATTTATTGCTAGAAACCTCCAACTGCAGAATGTTATCTTGGAGACTGACTGTCAAGTGGCCTATGCTCTTTTATCTAAAGATCATAATCCTTTTCATCCTCACAGCACGCTGTTAATGGATTGCAGGGACCTTTTGCGCAGCATTCCCCAAGTTCAACTCAAGCATGTGATGAGGGAAAGCAACATGGCTGCTGATGCTGTTGCTAAAAAAGGAGCTATGGCCCTTCATGGTTTTCATATTTTGGTTAATTGTCCACCTGACGTGGACTTGTTGTGTATGGCTGATCGTATAGGGGTTTGCTACCCCAGACTGTAACTATTTTGTTTATTTGTTATAATATCTTCCTTTTACCAAAAAAAAAAAATTTGTAACGGAAAGGTGCTTTTAGTGGGTAATAATTAATTATTTACTCATTCTGTTTAATTAGTGTAAATTTATAATCACTATCTATTTTAATGTAAATTTATAATCACTATCTATTTTAATTATTTACTCATTCTGTTTAATTTTAATAGGTCTAATTTTTTATCTAATAAAATAAAAATGTAATAATTAATTGATAAACTTTAATATTTATTTTTAATTTATAATTATTTTAATAAATCTTTTTATTTAATATATATTGTAATTATCTTTTTAAAATAAAGGTAAAGTACAAATTATATAATATATAGCATCTTAAAATAAACAAATAAATTTAAATACCCTAAATTAAAAATTAAATATATTAAGGTTAAGCCCCCATTTTGGTCCCTCAACTAGTGTACGAACCCCCAATTTAATCCCTCAACTAAAAAAATCCATGATTTGATTCTTACTGTTACTATTTTTACCTCAATTTGGTCCTTTCATTAATTTTTCATGTTAATTGACGAAAGAAGACAGAAGAAGCATTACGTGTCACACAAAAATTAACAGATTGGCAAAAATGGATGATATAGTCATTCCAACTCATTCCACCAAAAAAATAAATCCATTTTTTTAGCCTTTTTTTTTTTTCGTTCCTCTCTTTCGTCTTTCCCTTTCTTTTTTCTCTTCCCTTTCCTCAACTTTTGCAAACCCTAACATCTCAACTAATCTCTAACATCTCAACCAATCTATTCATCTCCAGCAATTTCTACCCTTGCTAGGTTCTTCATCATCATCAAAGAATAAAACCCACAAAAAAACAAAAA